GTTATTCTCCATTCATTAATCCTGATGTCATTTCTTGAAAGAAGTGTGAAAAGAAGTTGAAAGTTAAATTTTGGGACCCCAAACTCATTAAGCCAAAGAGAAAAGTCAAGCTGGGAACTGGGTCACACAAACCTGTCTCCCCCTTTTGGTTCCTAAATAAGATGGCTTCAAGATGAAAAACTACATGCCTCCGCCATATTTTGCCCACAAGGAAATTCCTAGAGAGCTATTAAAGTTTCACCATGGCAATCAAAATTGATAGCTTATCTTTACAGGTGCAGTCACCCCAGCCCACCAGACACAAATGTATATCTGATTGATCCCCTGCCCCATTGTGTCTATATTTATCTTATGTAAAATGCAGTTTCACTGCATTTCTCCTCTGCCCCATTTGTTTTATGTCATCTTATGTAAAAAAAAAAAAAAAAAAAAAATGCAGGTTCTCTGAGCCAGACAAAGGCATGAATAACTATGAATAACTATTGTTCCATGCCCTGCTCTTATGTGAAAATTGTGTACTTCTCAATTTCCCGCCCTTTCCCCTTTAAATTTGCAGTCCTCAAAATCATCTTCAGAGAAAGGCATAGACCAGTCCCCCGGGTGCGTCCTTAACTTTGGCAGATAAATCCCCTAAAACGCTTGAGACTTGTCTCGTCATTTTTCTTGATTGACAGAAGAAATATACATGGATCCTGCTATCCTTCCAATACAATGCTCTCTAGAATGATGGGCCTGAGAACATTCACAAGAATTTAAAAATCTTCCCCACAGTTTCTACTCAGCTTCAAACTCTCAGTGGGTCTATAAAAAAACATTAAAACTGAGTTCCTGCTATGTGATAGTGACTGCTGGCTACTGAGGTACAGGGTCAGCTAAAGAGGATTCATTTGATCAGCTGCTCACTTCTAGCTTAGTAAAATAACCAGCACAGAAGCTGTCAGTCTGTGACAGCACTTGGGACCCTCTGACAAACAGCATCAGTTCACTCATGGAGTCGGTAAGCATTTCTAAAGTGCAGAATAATCAAATGGGTGCTCTCTCCACTTGTTACAAAGGGAATCCTGCTTTGAGTCTTTCCAGATAACACAGAACCATTAGAAAGATTAGCAACTCATTTTCTTGAACTCTTTGGATGAGAACAGAGATCAAGTCTGGCATGCTGAAGACACAGAAAACTCATGGCTGGGAGAGCAGGGGAAGATGGTGATGAGTGATCCAAAAGAGCCAGCCCCAGAGCCTTTACCAGGGCAGCTACTGAGGAAGAAGAGATAAATGTGATGGTGGCGATGACGCTGAAGACATAAGGAAGAGAGTTAGAAGAAACCCTATTGTTTACCGGGTGATGCAACTGTACCAAGAGATGTATCCTCACAAATGAGCCATGGAGGAACTATTATAATCTTCACCTTTCAAAGGTGAACTCTAAGGCTAAGGGAGGTTGAGTCATTTCCCCAAGCTTGTAAGAAATCTCAGAACAAAATTTAAACCTAGGTCTATGTGACTCCCAAATCCAGAGATTTGTGTGGGCAAATGTGTATGTGTGAATGTTCAAAATTGAAGACTGTCGGCCGGGTGCAGTGGCTCATGTGTCTAATCCCAGCACTTTGGGAGGCTGAGGTAGGTGGATCATGAGGTCAGGAGATCGAGACCATCCTGGCTAACACAGTGAAACCCTGTCTCTACTAAAAAATCCAAAAAAAAAAAAAAAAAATTAGCCAGGCGTGGTGGTGGGCGCCTGTAGTTCCAGCTACTCTGGAGGCTGAGGCAGGAGAATGGTGTGAACCTGAGAGGTGGAGCTTGCAGTAAGCTGAGACCACTCCACTGCACTCCACCCTGGGTGACAGAGGGAGACTCCATAAAAAAAAAAAAAAAAAAAAAAACCAAAAAATTGAAGATTGTCTAACTCAGTGATCCTCAACCTTGATTGAGCATCAGGGTCATCTAGAGCTTTTGTCAGAATATGGGTTTCTGGGTCCTAGCCCCAAAATATCTCATTCCTTAGGCCTGGGATGAGACATTTCTCACAAGTTTCAGGTCTTGCCAATATACTGCACCTGCTGGTTTGAGGACACTTTGAGAATTAGTTCCTTTTTGTTGTTGTTCTTCTTCTAATCACTATGCAACCCTGCCTTTCTAGGAGGCATGGAGGGGAAAAAAAAAGTAAAGTGAGGAGAAAAGATTAGAAACTAATAATGGGACAATAAAAGCCCTGAAGACAAACTTCACCTCTTTCCTGCGTTGCCAGAGAGGGTCTAAACTGTTTCTACTAGACAGGATGAGTAAGAAATTTTGTTGTTTTGGAAATTCCTCTTGGCTAGAGCCTGACAATATTTATGATCCTCATAGGTGTGGCCATGGGTTCAAGTTATAAGTAGGTTTAACAACAATACCAAAAGCTAAGGTATGGGGAAAACAATCTACATTCAGAATCTATCAAACAACCCTACCTTCTCCATTAACCTTACCACCATCTTCAATCATTTCTCTCTTAAGCAAGTCTTTCTCACCTTCCCTTTCCTTGTTTGATTCAATCTTTTACTTGGAAATTTTCATTTCTGTTTGCTCTGTTTCCCATGAAAGACCATCAGAATGAGAAGCTGTCTTTTAAAAACATAGTGAGGTCCCAGAAAACAATCTATTATTTAAAAAGGTTGTTTAAGCCCCACACACTGCCTGACACAGACCAGGTACCCCACAAATACATACTTCTGAAGGAACAATAGTAATTTTAGGAACCTCCTTTGTATTTCTAAAGAAAATCATACTTATTACCAACTGTGCTTTTGCTGCATAGCATGTAATAAATTTGTAATTAATAAGATAATGAATCCTTTAGAATAAAGTGAACAAGAGGCAAATCAGGATACAAACTTTTTCAACAAAGTAAATGGCTACTTACTTCTGCCAAAACCATCAACTTAACAGGCAAATAGAACAGTCTGTTAGTTTTTTTTCTTAGAGATAGGGTCTCCGTCTGTTCCCCAGGCTGGAGTACAGTAGTGCTATCATCCTTCACTTCAGCCTCAAAGTCCTCGGCTCAAGTGATCCCTCTGCCTCAGCCTCCGTAGTAGTTGGAACTACAGGTACATGCCCCTAGCCCAGCTAACTTTTAAATTTTTTGTAAAGAAGGGGTCTCACTTTGTTTCCCAGGTTATTCTCAAACTTCTGGCCTCAAATGATCCTCCCACCTTGGCCTCCCCAAATCTTGGGATTACAGACATAAGCCACTACACCCAGGCAACTTGTTAGTTTTTACATATGGTTCACCACCATTCGTGAAAGTAAGGTCCATGTGTCATGAAGGATACACCAAAAAAATGTGAATGACATCTGGAAAATATTTTAATAGTTATGCACTGAAACTGTATTAGAAACAATATGTAATCCCATATCAAACCTATGATTTGATGCATATTATTTCTTAGGACTGAAGTTATATTTTGAATGTGAATTGGTTTCTAGAAAAGCAATAAGTGAATAATAATATAGAGATAACATAACTAAAGAAGGTAGTTATTAATGACTGAATATTAATGACTGAAGTTTAGGAAACACGGGTAATAGTGACTGGTACCAGTCACCGATGAAAAGGAGGAAATTTCATGTCAACGTGTGTGACTTGTTTTGTTAAATTCTACCATTTAAAAGTTTGTGGCTTTGGGCAAGTTAAATGTACTTTCTGAGCTCCAGGTCAAAAGTAGTAATAATTCTTTTTTCTTTTTTTCTTTTTTTTTTTTGAGACGGAGACTCGCTCTGTCACCCAGGCTGGAGTGCAGTGGCGCGATCTCGGCTCACTACAAGCTCTGCCTCCCGGGTTCATGCCATTCTCCTGCCTCAGCCACCCGTGTAGCTGGGACTACAGGCGCCCACCACCACGCCTGGGTAATTTTTTGTGTTTTTAGTGCAGACGGGGTTTCACCGTGTTAGCCAGGATGGTCTCGATCTCCTGACCTCGTGATCCACCCATCTCGGCCTCCCAAAGTGCTGGGATTACAGACGTGAGCCACCGTGCCCGGCCCAATATAATTCTCACTTGAAGGGTTTTTGTGAAGATTGAGGTAACGTAAAATAAATCTTTAAGTAGAATGCCTTATGTGGGGCACAGGCTCACTTAGCAAGTACTGGAGATGATAGTAGATGGTGATGGTGATGGTGATGGTGGTGATGGTGATGGTGGTGTTGGTGGTGGTGGTGGTGGTGATGGTGGTGGTAGAGAAGGAGGAATAGGGAGAGAAAGATGAGGAAGAAGAGGAACAGGAATAGAGGGGGAAAGAGGAACTATAAACCTCCATAATTTCCATGCATTTTTCAGTTACTTAGAACTTCCATATTTCTCTTTGGATATTGGGAATAAACCAACTTAAAAATGATCCTATTTTTTAGTAAAGTTGAGACTGTAATACTGCTGTCAGTAAAATGTCATTCTTGACCAAGCGGAACAAGGTGTCTCTCATTTCTATAACCTGGACTTTTGTACTTTCCCAATTATCTTTCTTATAATTTATAATTCTTTGAAGACTTGACACAATAATCTTACTAATGTTACTCAAGATATACCTTGAATTTATATAAAATTTAAAAAGCTAGCTGCTAATAATAGTTTTCCTATATTATAAAGGGCATATAATGTATTTTGGGATGGTGATGATTTGAAATGTATTAAATTAAGAGGGAATAGGATCATATAGAGAAGAGAAGCACTGATCAGCAGTAGGTACAAACTCGTGTTCCCAGGTTTCCTAGTAGGGATAGAGTCTTCATTTAAAGAGAAATAATTTTCTACCAAGTGGTATTTAAAGCAGGCATGGTCTATGTGGATAGGCCTGGATAATTCATTGACAGTAAAATTGCCACTTAATTATCATGCCAAACAACTGACATGGTAGAGATAACCCAGACCCTAACCCTTGGCCTTGGCAAACCAAATGTTTACACTTCTGTTAGGGACACAGACACATTGCAGAGTCTTAATGTAAGTTTGAAATCACAAGCAAACATACCTTCACAAAACCAAGGCTGCATAACTTGGCTTTTGCTCCAAATTGCCATTTACACTGTGTGTCAGCATCATAAATCTGTCCTGGTAGTTTGTCCGGATATTTATACTGTCCTGCTTGCTTGGGCTCATCCACTAGACACCCGGCCTGAGGTGTGCTGTAATGACAATACATACTTATTAATTACTCTGTTGATCTGTGATCTTTCCATTTACGACAACACACCTCTGAATGCGTTCACGCAAAGAAAAATATAACATGGTTTGAGAAACAGGTATATGTTTAAAGTTCAAATCCATGTTTATGCCAAAGAGTGAGTCCTGTCTAAGAGGATGGAATGTACACAGCCAGGCAGGGTTTTACAGGATGCTGAAAATTCTAGCCATCCAAGTGATTTGGCTTGGGATTCGACGGGAGACGGGGAAGGTTAATATATTTGAAAACTCCCATCAACAATCTCATTCAACAATATCTGACAATTTGTACTGAGTCCCTGCTCTGTGGCAAACCTTAGACAGAGCACTAATGGTACAAAACAAACCAGACAGACACAGTACCTGTCTTCATGGAGTTTTAAATCAAGTATTTTTGTTTTAACAAATAATGGAGCAGAGGTCAAAGATGTACTTTAACTCACAATAAGCCTTACAGACAAAAATAAATAACATTCCTAAAGAATCAAGAGGAATAATGAACTGGGGCATGAGGCAGAAAAATTTCCCTTAGGTATGTTTGATGGAACCTGTTGAGAGCAAAAATCAGTCCTGATGGCATGGATATTCTTAGCACCTTATCTCCACTTACTTAAATAATTAAAATATGGTACCATTGAGAGGTTAATTAGCATGGTGGTTAAGTGTAATTTTGTAGTGAGATAGATGGGGGTCCTAATCAACCATGCAACCAAGACCGAGTTATGTAGCTCTTATACAGCGCATGAGTGACAATGACTCTCATAAAGGTTGTTACACAGTTCGAACAAGAAAATATAACATGTTTAATAAAGCATAGTAAGCAAAGTTAGCTGCTGCTGTTATCATTATTATAACATTTAACTACAAAAGCATTTATCTACATACTAATGGAAATTCAATCTATGTTAAGTAGATCTTAATATCAATACTTATTAATCGCATTCTTACATGAGTTGGAAAAAATAATTCTAGTCACCAAATCATGAATTTAAAACTCACAGGAAAATCTTCATGGCAAAGCTCACTAGCAAAAAGTCTGTTGATTTTTTTACTACCCTTTGGGCATATTTGGTTAGGTATCTCTAAGCTTAATATGCTTTGTGTATATATCTTACTAATTCTTTCAACATCTGCAAATAATATACAGTGGTATGGGTTAAAAATAAAGTATCAAGAATGTCAATTCCCAAAGAAATTTCACTAACATCTGGTCAAAGAGATATGGGAATAGCATCTAAGTGTCCTAGTGGGTCAACATAGATTAAAAAGGTAGGTATGTGTATATTTGTGTGTGTGTGTGTGTGTGTGTGTATTTCAAATTTGGGTTCATTGTTTAATATGAATAGTGCAAATTTCCTAACTCCTACTTTTACTAATGCAACTTAAGGGTTCTGTGTTATTAAAAGCATTTTATATAGCTACCATCCTGCTTGGCTATCACTTGGACATAAAGCTAGCTCCTGGCCATTTCAGACACAATAGTCAAACAAGAAAATGCTCTATTCATTAAAACATAAACACACACTCATACCATGTGAGCATTTTAAAAATGCTCTATGACACACTGATTGATAAGATTGAAATAATTAGTCACAGTAAAAAGACAATATACCTAGCAGCCTCTGGAAGTCACAGGGAAGAGACGGTTGAGTACACATCCTAGAGTCACAACAGATCTAAGTGTGAGTCTTCTGTCTGCAACTTACCAGCGATAGTACCTTAAACCACACAATTAACCTCTCTAAGACTTGATTTCTCAACTCTAGATTGAGGATAACAGTATTGCTGTGAGGATTGAAAGAGGAAATATGTGGAGAACATTTAGCACAATATTAGGCTTCAATATGTGGAGAACATT